CACACACACACACACACACACACACACACACACACACACACACACACACACACACACACAAATATATACACACATAGAAACACTCCCACCTGGCCTTGGCTGTTATCAGGCAGTGGTAAACAGACACATTCATCAAGCCCCACTAATTGCTTCACATCCTTGGAACTCAACGATGTGGTACCCATGGAAACAAGATTCTGCTATATAAAAATGAGGATAGGCTGTTGCACCGTCCTTTTATAAAAGTGGGACCTCTTTATTTTAACCTTGCAGCACATGTTTGTCCAATATGTCTTTGGTAACTAAATAGTGGAACAGTGCTCCAAGTTAAATAGATTGTATTTTATCGGCAAAATATTAGCTTCAAACTGAAGCAAAACAAAATCTTTACAAAAAAGCTCCAATTTGCACGTAGTAATAATGAAAAGACAGCTTAAAGAATAAATGGCCATTAACATAAAGGACGTGGAACATAAGTGTAAGTAAACCAGCTGTTCTAAAACAACAGAGTGCCTCATTGATTTTAACTGATCAATGTGTCCATGTGAGATGGCCAATGGGGAGGCTGATAACACCGATCTACATGAACAAAAGGCAAAACGAGCCTTGACTGTTTAGCAGTGTGTGCCTGGCTGGGACTGAAAATCCTTTGAGTGACAACATCAGACATGCAGTACATCTCTCTTCTGAGCTAAAGACCGTTTAGTTTAAACAAACAAAATAAAAATATATACGTCACATAACATAAATGCAAGCACAACAGATGCTAATATAATTGGCCACAACTATGATAGAGATTTTCTAGCCTATAATCTATCAAACCGAAAAGTGAATAAGGTGATACCTGGATAAAAAAGAACACAAAAAATGACTCAAAAATAGATTCAAAAACAAGAGCATTAAAAAAACACAAACACATCTCTTTTAATGAGCTCATGTTTTTCATTTATCATCTAATGGCTAGATGGATGCATTTTACTTGTTAAGCTAATCATGTCAAAAAGAAGAAAAGTGGTGTACAGATTTAGGAAAATAAAGCTACTTTTTGCGCTGTAAGTCCAGGCTTTAAATATAAATGTGATACAACTTATTCCAAATTCCACTGTCCTCCGTGATCCTATTACAGCAGCACTCATATGCGTGTGCTATTGTCCTGGATTTATGTAAGGATTAGTGATGACTCAGGAAAGAAGGCTAATCTTGAAACTCTAATCCTGCCGGACTCTGCAGTTGGGCTTTAGTACTCGGGCTTGTTCACCAGAGTGACACTGGCCAACAATGCTGACACGGACGAACATGGCATGGTAAAAGTGACAGAAATTCGATGAGGTGATGGGGTTCGAGGAAAACAAGAACACAAGTGTGAAAACAATAGAAAGAGTGAGAAAAAAATAAAGGTGAAGGAGACAAAAAGGCAGACATCAGTAATCTTCTAACCTGTCCAGCTGTTAGGGAACAATGTGAACATCCTCCATTATCAAATGCCAGCATAGTCCCTGGGCTACATTTAATGAGGTTAATGATTAATGGGTGATATCAGATCAGTGATTCAGTGACGGGTAACAACCTCAGGCTCCGACACACACCACTCCGTCTACATGTGTGTGAATGAGTGCAGTCAATGTTAAAGAAAAGACAGAGTATGACAACAAGCATGATGGTCAATCATGTTCAAGTATGGACAAAAATCCTGACTGCTAACGCAAGTGGTATGATGAAGAGGAAGGACGGCAGTTAAGTCCCATTTCTGATGGGCGTTGCTTTGGTCAGTCGTGATGAACAAAGCTGAGCTGAAAGGCAAAGCTCTCGCTTTACTGGTCTAAGTTCCATCCCTCACCATTGGCCATGAGACGTGAATCATGTCAAAAAGAACAAGATCCTGGAAACAATAGGGGAAAATGAGCTTCCCCAATTCCTGGGTGGCCAGGCTCAGCCTTAGAGACACGGTGAGGAGCGCCATCATCCAGGGGGAGCTTGGAGTAGATTCGCTACTCCTCCGAATCAAAACGAGTCAGTTGAGGTGGTTTAGGCGTCTGATTAGGATGCCCACCTTTTAGAGGTGTTCCAGGCACATCCTACTGGTGGGAGGCCTGGGACAGACCCAGAACTTGCTAGAGGGATTATGATCCTCTCTGGACTGGGAATACCTTGGGGGTCCCCCAAGGATGAGCTGGAAAGTAATGCTGGGGAGATGGATCTCTGGGTTTCTCTCCTGGACCTGTTGCCTCCGTGATCCAACTCCAGATAGGCATCAGAAGACGGAAAGATGGAGATGGATCAGCTCAAACCTACTGAAGGACTGCTAACTATTAATTTGCTGTCCGTGTTGTTGATATTTTTGTGGCCAACATTTTTCTCCCTTTTCTATGATCTTATCTTCACATTGACATCTTTCAAAAATTGTCCCATCTCACAGACTTCTTTATAGGCTGTTAAGTAGTAAAAAAATGGTTTCAACCACAGACACAAATACACAAAATAAATAAATAAAATTCTAAATTTTACAACACTGAATTGCATTTAGCTTTGAAAACTAAATCCTTTTAGTCAGTCTGACTTTCTGGGAAACACACACACACGCATTCATACAGACACAGGCACACAGTGCTCTCCATCAGTTTCTGATAATTGCACATCTTTATAGAATCACAAGTCCACCATGAAACAGAATACATTGTGTCGAATACAAAGGGTCCCCATGGAGAGGCGACAGAGCTTGAATAGTTGTCTTTGTGCAATACAACAGCAGACAGCTTCGATCTCTACAAAAAAGCCATCTCAATAAACATCTCCACAGGTACCAGCCTACACATCAACTAATCTCCTGATTAGGTCCTTCGGAGTGTAATCACAAAACGTTGATGGGGAAATGTAGAGGGAGGACATCGTGAGTGATGGGTGAGTGAGAAAAGTGGAAATGAAGAGAAAGAAACTGAAAATGATGGAAGGAAAGATCAGGTATTGGGGGAAAAAATGAATGAACAGATATGGTGAAAACCTGGATGAAATTGCAATGCCTAATGATAAAAGGGACAAAAGATGGAAAGATAAAGAGAGTGATGGATGGCTGCTTCCTGGGTTCACTAGAGTCACGAGTCCAGGCTTTAATTTCTTTAGGAGCAATGGGAATGTTCATCCACAGTTGTGTCTCTATTTGTGGCACAGGAGGAGGGTTGGGGGCACACAGAGCAGAGTTTTAATCTCTAGCACCAAATAGAGCAGTGGGTATTTCATTAAAGATCTGTTTCAGGGTGGCCAGACCTGAAAGAAATCCATATTTCATTACTTGTCCTCTATCTCTGTGCCTCTCCTGTATGCATACTGTATGTCTGCTCGGGCATGTGTTTTGTGTGTGTGTGTGTGTGTGTGTGTGTGTGTGTGTGTGTGTGTGTGTGTGTGTGTGTGTGTGTGTGTGTGTGTGTGTGTGTGTGTG